GAGACGTTAGATGCAAATCGAAAATGGTACGCAAATGCGCATGAACTGGTACAGTGTCTTTACTAGCACCTGTTCAAAGGTGGAATGGCGTAGGCTTGGCGGACGACTATGATACTTCTTAGAGGACTTGTGATCTACTGAGAACTTTTCATTTGTTAGCTTTCCATCCATTCCAGCGAGCGGTTACGCCTGTTCAGCTCTTCCTATGCAACGTCTAGATGTGGCTAAATACGGAGTTGATTCCGCCAGCCCCTTCAACAAGTACAATCCCAATCGGGATTCCAACACGCCTGCCTCAAACTACTAATGCTAGATCACGGGCTCGCTGCCTTGATGCGTATCAGTGCACACAGTTTCAAAAGTTGAGCTTGTCTAGATTCTTGCGGAAAATGGACTGTCTATTTTTCGTTTTGAAAAAGAATCTGTAGTGACTATTTTTGTGTAAAGTAGTTTTGGGTGTGACCATTCACGTGGTTTTCACACTTCGATCTCCGTAGCCTCGATCTCCATAGATTTCCCGTTTTACACGTCGTAAGTTTTGTTTTTGCAAAGTCGTAACACATACAAGGTAATTCAGAAAAACCTCTGGCTAGTTATAACGGGAATCCAGTGAATCTTGACGCGGATGGGACACTAATTACAAATATCTTTACTAAAATGAAGTCGCAACCTACGACTTAAGATGTAAAATGCAGCTCCAACACAGATAGTAACTGATAACAGAAGCGTCAATACACGCGACGGGATCATTCGCTCCATGGTTCGATTGGCTGAAAACTCGATCTGTTTGTATAAACCTGGCTAAAAAGGACAAATTAACGCCCATAATGAACAAAATTGGCCATTTGATCAACACATATTGATTGGATTGTCCAGAAAAGGTAAATTTCACGTAAAATGTCGACAAACGCACGTCTTTTGTGTTTCCTCCGTTTTATTGCTTCGTACAGTAATATTATAACTCTAAACCAGTGCATACATCCGCAGGGATAGACATGTGAAATCGGGGAGGCAGAGTTAAAATGGGAACTATGACATGGTAATGTTCTTTATAATAAGGTTAATGGGCAAACGATTCACGGTAAACGGATTTACCGTAAACCCGTTCTCAATGTTGCCTTCCTCCCCATTTCTGAATAACTAGTTACCCATTTTCTGCACGTAATTATACCAGGCTGCTCTGGATGAGGCATCGATACTTCAATGCCTTTAAATCACGGATTTGAGGCACCCGATTTTAATACCGTCCTACTAAGTAGGATGGTATTCAGAGGTGTCGAAAAATGTGTCGTTGTCTGAACATATATGACCCGTAAAAGTACAACAAGTACCCGTCCATATCACAAAGTCCCCGTCATAAACCACACACAAATGGTCATAAACTACACGTAATTTCAGAGAAAGCACGAAAAACATACAGAAGACCAAGTCTGATGGCAGATTCTTATTGGCTACTCATTTTTTGAGATTGTAACTTGCACGGCTTTGTCCGTCGGATTTTTGTGTCTGTCGAATAAATACCAGCGATACCAAGTCGCTAAAGTTACTAAAAACATAAATAGAGGACCTCTGAATCATCAACACTCCCAATTCCGTGAGGTAGAAAAGTTGTCGTACCTATTGAAAATACCTCGATTCATCATTCTTAGCTGGCCATCTGCTGAGAACAAGATTAGTCACTTCTGTAAACTTCCATCGAAAAAACTCTAACTCACCATCTGCTTGATCTGCCTGGATTGTGTAGAGCGCGATTGCGTGATGGACTCTCGCATTGCGTGGATTTCCCCAACGAGGCGATTCTTTTCGTGAACTCTCTCAAACCCTACTGTGCGCAGCGTGCTTGGATTGGCTTGGTTGGGTGCCGTAATTGCTCCACTGACACAAGAAGCACTAACAGTATACTTACTGTATAGTTGCGTTAACGCGAACATGCCACCAGCACAGCCTATGCACGATAAAGGAATCCACCCTATCCACGTGATAAGTCCTGTTTACCGACTCTTCCCGTAGTTCGTAATCTGCAAAATGTGTAAACCACTAGTTGGTTTTACCCACACTATGATAGTGACTATCGGCCTGTCGACTTCCAGTTTCAAATATTCCTCAGCAAACGCAGAGCAATCCCTGGACCTGGACCCCATTTGTTGTGCTGCATAATGAGTTCTTTCGTTCTCAGTCCTCCTAACAGCTCGGCACTAAGCGACACCGTGATCGGAGCTGTCATGCAGCGTTCAACGTGGAAAACACGTGGAAAAACGTACGATCGTGTTGACAACAATGCTACCGTTCCCAACACCTCTCACCAGCAGTCCAACCATCGCACATACCGCCATGCGCCGTACCACAAGCCTTCCCAGAATTACCCCTCCGCGACAATGTCCAAGGTCCCTGCAGAG